CAGATCTTACCCATTTTTTTTTAATTCCTCGTTTTTGCGCGTTTAGACATCCTGTTATTCCTCGTTTATTCCTCGTTTTTGCGCGTTTAGACATTTCCTCACCAGCCGCGCCACCCGCCACTCGCCCATTAGAACGTGCGCTCATTATATCTGCATTTGAGGGAAACTTATGTCCAGATGGAGCGGTCATTATAGCTGTGTTCATCAGTCTTGATACTGGGATGACCGTACGTTCCGTTCGTTCGAACACTGGTAGTGTGCTTCAGCCAGGTACGTAGCCCTTGTTCATTACCTTCAATTAATTTTGTCGTTGACTGCTGATTGGTATCTCAGGAGTACTTAGGGCCTCGCTCCTCGCTCGACACCACTTCAACTCAAGGGTTGAAGGAAAATTCTTCGTTCTACCCGGCCCTAACTTGGCTGCAGAGTTGTTTCTACTTTCCGGCTCTCTAGTGCCAGCCCTCGAAACTCAAGTGCGGTGGGGGCAAATTCGCACTTGAGCTCAAGATACCTCTGCCGGGAGCCTTGAGTTCAAGTGCAGCGGATACTACTGCCAGCACTCCGAGTAGGGCTTTTTTCTCGTTTTTCTTTTTTTTCCAGCAGGCGATCCTGGTCCAGGATTGGTCAAGCAGTGGAGTTAGGTTTCAAGTGCAGGCTATTCAAGGGTTTCCTCAAGTGTACATGGAACCATAAATCCAGTAAGTGTAAATTGATCACAATTTCTCATTCGGGGCGTCGTTAGACACTCCTCAGGGCATCCTTGGGCTCCGAGGATGAATCCTCGGAAAAGTTTAGGGTTTCTGTCGTCTTCGTTAGACTCATCCTCGGAGCATTGGCTGTAGGAATCATCCTCGGAGCAATGTCGGAAAAAAATAGGGGGAAAAAAAAGAAAAAAAGCTGTGCTTCAGGCTTTCAGCCAATAGGGTGCTGCCATGATCCAAATTCTCGGTTGTAACGTCTCTCTACGTGTATGCCCTCTCCTCTCCGTGAAACACGGATCCTCGGGCCCCAAAGGACCTCGCGAGGTCCCTTGGAGCCGAGGACGATTTGGCTGGGAAATCCTCGGAGCCCAAGGATTTTACCTCGGAGTGTTTTCACATTTTCATTTCCAATTTCATCTCCGAGGACAGGTGGAAGAAGATGAAATCCTTGGAATCACGTCCCCGAGGAGTATCTAAGGGCCTCGTTAGCCCTCCTTGGAAATCCGATTTTTAGGAAACCGGCATCGTTACACCGCGTCCTAATTCATGAAATTCCTTGAATGAATGTGAAAACGCTCCCGAGAGATTTCCTTGGATTCCTCAGAATCCCCAGCCAAAACGTCCTTGGATTCAAGGTGTCCTCGCGAGGTCCCTTGGGCTCAAGGAGCCGCGATTGACGGATCGTCGTGGAGTGTGCGTCGACACCGAAAATTGGAGTTGTTCGTGGTCCACAGGTCGTCCGTGGTCCATCGGGTGGACACCATCGGCTTCCTGCAGGCAACAGGCCCCCAACGGCGTTGTGCCGTTACCGTTGGCGCTTCGAGGGTTGGGGGGTGGTTCTTCAGCTACGACGCCGTTCATGTGGCGGGGTTCTCCTTGCGCGCGTCGTTGGGCGTGGTGTCCAACGGTCGACTTTTTCGAAATTTATTTTGTCCCTGCCATGTGAGCAGCGCTGGCCGACTGTTGTTCTCCTCGACATCGTTCATTGCCCGGCATTGACATGCGTGCGGGAGGGATCTCCAGTCGGTGCAGATCGACAGCTGCTGCGATTCATGGCAGACGTCCTCCGACGGCTCCCGCTCCTGTTACTGGGCACTCTTCTCCTGCTCTTTGTCGTCTTGTTGCGCGCCAGTGTCGCTGTACGGGGTCCTCGTGGCAGACGGAGACGACAAGTGGCAGCGAACGCGACAATGGAAAAGCGGGAGAGCTCCGCCGGACAACACAGACGTGCGATTGAATTCTCCATTCATGAGCGGCCGGTGTCAAGCCATCGTCCACCTGCATATGACCCCACGTTGTACAGTCATCTCCCACCGCACCAGCAACAGCTACCGCCGGATCCGAAAGAGGAATGGGTGGACGATCTGTCCCACACTCTTCCTTTGGGGAGCGGATCTACGCAGGAGTGGATGGGGAGGCACTACCAGCAAAGGGAAGCAGGGACTAGTCGTTAGTCATACTCGGCAATGCTGGATTAGGGTATCGACGGTGGCGATACGGAGATTGTGGACTTGGATTTCGGCTTGTCAAGCAGGACGCCTGGAGTGGGTGCGAACACTTGTGCATCGAACCACGTGGGCGCCACGACCGTCGAGCAAAGGTCTGTAGGTCGGGTGGGAGTGGCCATGGTAGGTGGAAGATCCTCTCGTGTGGATGGCGCGACAGATGGGTGTCGTCAAGCGCCCTCCATTTGTGGAGGCGTGAGACCAGTTGGCGATCCGCCGAGGGCAGTGTTACCCACCCACTCAGCGACGCCTTCGCCTGCGCTAAGGCAGAGGGCGGACGCACCTGCGGTGAACACCAGCACTTCTCCACCGGAAGAAATGGGGAGGCAGGCGTGGGCGTCCTGTCGCCAACAAATGCGCCGAGCGACCACTGATAACATAACGGACGGGGTGTCACGGATGCGTGTGGGGAGCGATGCCGACGCGGACGACTGTCGGAGGGCGAGTGGTGAAGAATCTCCAGATTCCCATGCGAGGAGGAACCGGAAGATGCGGCAGACTTGGAGATTCGACCCGTTGGTGTGCGTGGTGGACGAAGGGGTGGATGCGGACGTCAACAGAAGACCTCGTCACATGGCGGTCGAGGATTGAAGGGTCCTGTGGGCGAGAAGGATGGCAAACATCCAGCTTGGAGTGTTGAGGAGATGATCAAGCTCGCTCGAGCGGTGCAGGACCAACAAGCTCATTTCGAAGGAATGCCGCACAACTACGGCCACATGCGCAATAGGGAATGGAAGCTGCAGGACCTACAGAAGCGTCTGGTGGAGGTGGGCGTGAAGAGGACGACCGACGACATCGGCAAGAAGTGGGATAACCTCTTCCATCAGTATAAGAGGGTGCAACGATATAAGAACGTGTCTGGGGGAAGTTCTAGTGTCTGGGGGGAAGAACTTCTTCATCTTGACGCCTGCTTTGAGAACAGAAGAGGGATTCAACTTCCGAATGGATCAGCAAGTGTGCCTTGAGATCGATAACAGGTCTCAAGGCAATAAGACCATCTACCCGGATAACCTCGCCGACACGAGTGCCCGGGGAGGAGTGCAGATGCCGGGGGATACTCAACGTCAGCCATCCGTTGCACGCGAATCCTGTGCCGGGGGAGATGTGGGTGATGGCAACGACGAAGATGGAGGGTCGGCGCGGGAGTCTGGATTCAGTGCAGGCAGCACGGGCTGCGCTGGCAAGAGAAAGAACATGTGTCAACAAACTTTTGACGCCATCGCCGAAGTGATGGAGAAGCACGGTGCATTGATGGCGGACACTGTAGAGAGGGCAAGCAAGCGACAGTGTAGCATCCTGGAGCGGCAGTGCAACATACTTGAGCGCGAGGTCGAAGCCCAGAAGCGGCAATAAGAGGCGTTCGATGAGGCGAACATGATGATTTGCACTGCGTTAATGGAGATCGTTAAAGCAATAAGGGAGAGGTCGTGACGCCGCCTGAAGTCCTGCATCTGTGTACATTCTTCTGCAGTCGGTCATCATGTGAATGCATATCCTAACGCTACATCCCTCGCTTGTTCTCCATGGGTGTCGTGGTGATGGAGGTGACTCCGCACGTGCAGTCGTGAAGGGCGCTGTTGAAGGCACGGCGTGCGCGTGACAATTCGTGCAGGTTGACGGGAGCGCCGGGTGTCATTGTTGTGAGTAGTTACTTTTCTTCGCCACGTGTGTATATATATATACATATATATATATATGTATATATGGTAGTTTCCCAAGGTTGGAATTTCCTCGGCCTGGATGGGTGACATCGACGCTGTCATTCTGGGAGCGCGCCGTGGCAGGGAAAGGTCACCGCCAACACTATAAAGGTCGGTGCATGTCTGCTGGTTTTCGTGTCCTACGTTTTGTGGGCGTCCATTCCTTGCCACACCTCGGGGCTGTGTTCCAGTGCGCCGGGAGTTGATCATCCTCGCAATCGCCAAACACCACCGTTGTCTTCACTTACTCGTCTCTCTCTTCTTTATCTATTCGCGGGGTCGTCCGCGACACGCGGCAGACTCACAACGCCTTCATTTGCGAGACGTGGGAGAGCGATCGGTAGCGCATGGCGCCACGCACACAGTACCAATTCAAAAGGCGAGAGGGCAGATCCGGCGAAGGCACTGGCGGGCAAACCAGAAGGGGGCACGTCCCGAAGTCCAAAAAGTTGCGTGGGGTTCACGGATCGGAGGGCGAGATGGGGGGTGAGGGGGGACAAGACGTGTCGCCCATGGATGTCCCTTCCACGGTCATGCCAACGCTCGGGTTTGGGAGAGACGGTGTCAGCAGGGAGCGGATGATTTCACTGACCAACCTTGGTCTTCTTGGGACTTCACGTGGCGGCGGGAGCGGAACCGTGAGTTCTCAAGGGATTGTCATCAACGACACGACACCGCAAAGGCCTGTCAGTTCAACGTCAAGGATCGTTTCCGTTGTTGAACGCACGGATAAAGGACAAGCCCCTGTGTCCCCCTTACGTGACGTGGATCTATCGAACACGTTGATGGCCGGGGGCTCGTCGAGGGTTGTCGCACCTTCCGCACAAGTAGGAAGCCCCAATGTCCATGCCACCGCCACTGCTGCGGGAGAAATGCGAGAAGATCGCAGGGTCGAAGTGGCGGGGAGGAAAGAGGAGAGGGATGAGATTCCGCGGCCAGACTGCGAGGACGACGAGTCTCTGAACTTGAGGAAGAAACACACTCGTCAGGAGGAAGAGTTGGAGGCGAAATCCAAACTGTGGGTAGACGGGAAGACGTTTTGGGGAAGCGGACCTGGTTGCATGATTGCGGACGTCGTGCATGACTGCTCGGACTATTATTGTGCAATTGTGAACGGTGACGCAGGCGCCACCGCCCCGCATGGCGTCATCATGCCAGGCCCCGATGTTCCGCGCGTGCGAATCGAAGATCCTGCGCAGTGAGAGCCAGCTCTGCGACGGGCGAGACAGACGGAAACTGTCGCTATGCTCGTCATCCATGGGTGGATATTCAGGTCGTCTTCAAGGTCCGATGGTTTCGCCCGCGCCGAGTCGTATGTCGCCGTCGATTACCCCACCGATCTAGCGAAAGCAGTTTGGTAGAGCGTAGAGTGGTCGAAGGTAGTGCTGCCTAGTGTCGTCTACCACACGCTCGCTCTGAAGATGGACATTCCATTGTGGTATGCGGGGGCATATATCGAGGATAGGCCCGAAGACGACGACATGGCATCCCACCAGGAGTCCACGGTGATGCGTTGGTGTCCTGCTTTCACGATGCGCTTCGAGCCGACCATTTTTCCGACGACGGGAAAATATCCCAGTCAAAACTTAGCAGAGTCGCAGACGCTTTCCGCCTGCTTCTCGCCTCGTGCATGTGGGTCATGCGCATGGGGGGTGACGATGCACGCTCCTACGAGGAGGCGTCGTACTACGCACAGCTCGTGGCGAAACCCACGATTGTGGCGGCTGGTTCGCAGTCCTTCAACTGGAGCAGACATGTTCTCCAGTCCGTGAATGCCGTATTGACTCGCCTCGGGAAGCCGCCCTTGACGATGGGTGCGTTTCCTAACTACATCCCGGAGTGGGCTTCATGTGGAGTGCGCTTCAACTACCACACTGATTTGGCGGACCCCGACATCGCGGCGAAGATGGACTGGATGGGGACGGGACCTTTTGATGGTGATCGCAAGGAGGATGGTCCCGACGACGATGTAGGGAAGTGAATTTGGTGGATATGGTCGTCCTGCTCATCGTGGCAGCATGCTTCGCCCGTGGAGTGGAATGGTCCGTGGTCTTTGGCGGCACGCCCATCGTTTTGGTTTGTGTATGGCGGGTGCGGGGGCAGGGGGGAAGGGGTGTCCACGCAGGATTGGCATGGGGGTTAAGCTAGCAGGCGAAGTTAGGGGTGGCTAGAGTCCGGGCAGGATGAGGGGTTGGGGGGGGGGGGATGTGTACATGTGTGTCGACGATCGAGGGGCGCTTTGAAGTTGATGTGGCCGTTTTGTTTCGCCCTAGTGGTGTAGTGTGCCATGTCGCCCGCCGACGTGCATAATCGTGGCAGCCGACCGCAAATGTGGTTGTTTTCGTTTTCGTTTTCTTGCGGATTTGTACAGTGCATGCACAGCTAAGTGAAGGCCATGTGATTAATGGCACCTTTTTGGGGATGACACAACAAGAGGGGATGCGTTTTTTCAATTTCTTTCATGGAGCCAGGGCATATGTCAAATGGTAAATTCCGCATACCTGGAAATTGTGTTTTTGCATCGATTGATTGATTGATTGATTGATTGATTGATTGGTTGGTTGGTTGATCGATTGGTTGGTTGATTGATTGATTGATTGATTGATTGATTGATTGATTGGTTGATTGTTTTATCGTTTGGTTGGTTCGTCGGTCGATCGACTGATCCATTTAATGCTTTATCGGTTGGTCGGCTAATCGCTTCATCGATTGATCGATTGATTCATTGTTCGATTTATCAGTGGTTGAATTGAATGGCACAGGAAATGCGCATGGATAGACAAGAAGGTGCTTTTTTTGTTGCTGCATGAACTGAATGACACAAAAAAACCGCATCGATCGATTAACGCAACAAAAGAACTCATAGATGGCACGAAAGCGCATTCAAGGACGCAAATATGAAAAAACTGACACAACAAAGACGACACCGCCGTCTGCAAAAACATCGTCATGGAGCGGCGCTCCGTCGCTCTTCAAAGGTTCGCTACATGATTAAAAGTCACGCCAAGTAAACGATAGTAAAAGGAAAACAAAAAAATGTCTCAACGAACAAGACCATAAAGTAAATAAATCAAAACAACTGCAGTGACCCTGCAGAATTGTTCCCAGCGCACCACACTCCCGCCGGAACACAACAACAACCGCCGTCTCCCGAACATCACTAGTCCCCCCCCCACCCCCCCCGTCTTAGATATCGATGCCGTAGCTACCGCCGTCGAGGGAGTTTGCACGTTCACGAGTGCTTCATGCGCTCTACCAACGCTTCGCGCAACGCCAGCGCACGGGGCCGATTAAAGTTTTCCGCGATGGGGTAGGGTGGGTGATCCAACCCCAAATCCAAACGTGGGCGTGCGCCATTAACGTCTACCTCCCACAACAAGTTCTCGTCGAATTCCACGCCAGCATCGAGGAGGATGTTGTGAAAATGCACACGACTTGGAACTGTTGCGGGAGAGTCCATATTCGTCTTGCGTGTGCGGAGGAACAACCTCCACATCCCCTTCAATCTCCCGAAAACTCTCTCCACTGCTCCTCTGGCAACCTTCTGCTTGTTGTCGAACCTCTCTTCGTCGGCTTATTGATCGGTCCCCCCGTAAGGCACGACGATCCACTCCAGAGGAGGATAGCCGTTAACGCCGAGAATGTACCCGTGTGTCTTCAATCCGAACGACAGCACAACGACAGGTCTACAAAAAAGATCCCCCTCCTCCGCACGCGCCCACAGACTGGAAAGTTGAAGCATGCGAATGTCATGGCAGCTCCCTGGATAACCGACGAAAACGCCCGTGATGCGCAAATCCAAGTCCACCACCACCTGCGCAACAACGGAGAAACGAATCGGATGGTTCCGATCGAAGTAGTTCTCCGATGGTCCGTTCGCCGGTTTGTCCACGTATATGTGCGTGCAGTGTATGCATCCATAGCAGTTGGGGAAACCCTTGGCCTCGAAGGCGAGCAGAACGAGCACCCGCCGCAACCCGGAAGGCCAGACGATGTTGTCAAGGTACACCCTCAAAAGCGCCTTGGTGACGTCCTCGACCGCGATCAAGCCTGATGTGCGTCCTATGGCGAATGACGATGTGCTGCTCTCGTACGTCTCCCCGCTCGCCCATAATGCATGTGCGATGATGTGATCCGCATCAACGGTACCCTGTAGAATGTCACCCTCCGCTGCAGAAGAGGGGACAACACCTCCACGATCTCCCGGAACACCCTAGGGGACATCCTCAACTTCTCCTTGTAGTAGTCGTCTGCCGCGTCGTCCATCTTCCAAAGATCCTCCCATGTGCCTCCCGTCCTTCTCCTCATCCACCACCTCGGAGTCGCCAGCAGGATCACACCGGATGCAATGGCGCAGCAAAACTGGACAATGGATTCGGACATGGACACACAGTCGGGCGCCTCCATCACTTGTTGCAAGAGCTGACGCTGCCTGCGAATCGACAGTCTCATCTTGAGGCGCGCTGTCGTTCTCTCGATGCGATATCGCATGGCGACCTCCGAAATAGCTGCAACCGCCACATTTCTCTTTGATGTCGTCAAGGCGTTGCCACCGCGCTGCAGCTCTCTGACCATGATGACGTCGCGCAATGCGCTTTCACCACCCTATGCGTCAGCCGCCGGCACCGTCGTTCCACTCTCTCCGCGTGGACGGGGAAGGCAGTAGTCTCACACAACTTCGACGGAGGGGCGGCGTGTGAGCTCTGCTATGGCGGCCCGCCGGATTGTCATCGACACCCCCAACAGGAATGTGGAACCCGTTATAGCGGACACACTCCGAGATCTTCACCGTCCTCGCAGCGTCGGCACACGTTCCAATACTCGCGCATTCAGCGATGGCCGCCGCAAATCCTCCGTGCAGACGTTTTGCTCCGGTGTCCGCCCCAGCTGTCTACACTCGACGATGTGTTGATGTGTATCAGCCAAGGGTTTGAAATTTGAAATTTCAAAAGGGATTTTTGTGCCGATTTTTCTCTCCGCAGCCCAGAAGGCCTCCCTGCCGCCGCCACCGGACCACGCCTGAGGACGGACGGACATCCCACCACGACGACGGACATCCACCCTTGTGGCCGCGTATATGCGTATGATTCGCCGCAGGAGACCTCCAAGGGTTTTCCTTGGGACCCATTCGATTAGGACGCGGTGTAACGACGCCACCAAAAACCGTAAAATTTCCCAAGGAGTTCATCGTAATTCTTGAGGTTTTTCCAAGGAGGGTCTAACAGGGCCCTAACTATGCCCTTAGTGTGCACTTGAAACTCAAGTATTTTCACGTGGTGTCGAACGAGGCCCTTCACAATCCTAAAAACAAGAAAAGTATGTTCATCTTACCCTAGAACATGGAAAGATACAAAATCATAATTATTGTCCATTTTGCGTGTGGGGAGTGGTGGAGCGAGGCCCCATGGCGGTGTTGTGGCTCTCGCCACGTTGTGACGAACTGTCTTCCGTAACCGAGCTACTTTCTGCGCGACGCTGCTTTGGGGGAACGGATCGGGCTAATCGGGCGAAGTGTGGGAGACGAGGTCGACGGGGCAAATTGCATGGGTATCCTCACTTTTTTGTTTCTCTTTTCAATGATGTCGGGCCAGGGCCGGGGAAGTCCCGGGCGGATGGTTGAGGGGGCACGCCACGACAGGCGCAATCAACAACGGTTGCCATAGGTTTTTTCTTGTTCTGCTGGGGCGAAGGGGAACGTGAATTTTGGCGCGATGACCTCGCAGGAACATCGTTTTTCTTTTTCAAAATTTTCTTTCAACTGATGTCGAGCCCCCGTGGGCTCCTCGAATTTGTTTTTTTTCGAGTTTTTCGTTCTTCGAAATTTTCTTTTTTTCAGATTTAGATAGGAATTTAGGAACTTTGAAATTTTTTTTGCGCTGTGTTTCTTGCTTGCGCGCGCCTTCCTGCAGCGGGAGCAGAGTTCTGACTGAGTGGCCCTCTTCATCTTGCGTGTAACTGTAACTTTTGGCGGGCGGAATTCTAACTGTATCCCTCTTCTTGATTCTCTCGCCTTCTTCCCGCCTCCTTTCTTCCTGCTATGCATGTGTCTCCCGACGATCTGATTGGCCAAGACGTTGCATCCTCAGATCGATGCGTGGAGAATGGCTACGTCCCCCACGCCGCGGCCTGACCATGCAAAAAGTAGGCACTTCCTTTCTCCTCTCCTCCTCAAAAGCACAATCCCGTATCTGCCGCGCATGCATGCACGCTATAAATCTTGCGAGCGCGATTAAAGCTC